CTAGGTGAACACACTCACAGAAATGCTTAAGGAAAGTGCTGACCAAACCAAACCCCAGTCCACTGCCAAATTGAATCTGACTTACAGTGACCTGCAGGACGGCAGAGAACTGCTCCACAGGGGTTCCAAGGCTGCAAACCTTTACGGAGGTAGATGGCCACCTCTTTCTCCCACAGGGTGGCCGGTGGGTTTGAACCACTGACCTTGCAGTTAGCTGTCAAGTGCTTTAACTGCTATGGCCTGGTGGCACCTTTGCAAAGGGGCAAGCTATTATGCAATTACACTTGGCCCACTGGAATAAGGAATTTGATGAAGACCACATGGGTCATTTCCCTTTCTGTTGACTCATGCGATGTTATTAGCAGTCTGTTTTCTGAGAAGAGCTTGATTTCATTTAGAGACACTAAAAATTATCCATCTTGGCACTGGGCATGCAAAGAGTAACATTTAATCAAGAATCCTTATTTATCCTTCAAAACCCGCAGAGTTGTGGTGAAACTATTTAAAAGAATGGGGTGCTGTCAACTGCTCCTACTCATGTGCCTTCCTGTGGGCAGCGAGACATTCATTATGGAACAATATTGATCATCGTGTGGGCTGCCATGTCACTACTGGATTAGCCAGTTACAGAGAAGGAGAGTCTTACAGTCCTAAGGTCCCATCCTTCCTAATTAACTTAATTTGGAAGGAAGGTGGGGGTAATATGCGTAGGCCAAATTTCTACAATGCCACCCTCAAAGATGCCCCAGACCCAAACCTAGCCCATTGCCACTGGGTCGATTCTGATGCCCGGTGACCCTGTAAGGCAGGGCAGAACTGTCCTATGGGAACTCCAAGATTGAAAGCTTTATGCTGATTGCCACCCCTTCCTGGCACAAAGCAGGCTGGTGGGTCTGAAGAGCATCTGAATGCTTCACCGCTCCACCACCCGGTCTCCTTCAAGATGGCCCAGCACCATACACACAACGAGAAAGCACTCCCCCCCCACGGGATGGTAATACGGTGGCACAGTCGACCTCAACACAAGCTGATGACCTTGTAGTACCCCGGTCGGCCGAGGTAATCACACGGACCCTTGAAAACAGAGTGCTTTCTCTAGCGTGAAGTCTTGATGAGAAAGGTGTGATGCTTGAGTCTGAACCTGAGGCGGGGAGGGGCCCCATGAGAAGGGATGTAGGTGGCCTCTGGGAACACAGGGTTGACCCCCAGCTAAAGGACCGTAAGGGAATAGAGCCCTCAGTCTTGGTGGAGGAAACTGGAGCCTGAGAGCAACCTGACTGAGCTTGGAAGCAAAGCCTTTCCCAAAGCCCGTATGTAAGAGCCCAACACACACACACACACACACACACACACACACACCGGCACAGTAGCATCCACCTGCATGTGCATAAGGACAGACTAGTATTTGGACAATTGCCAGGCTGGTCATACCTGCACGGTGGTTATTCCCGGCTCCCGGCCGACCAGGGTCCTGCCATCCTGTAACTTGGCGATTTTCGGCTCCTCCACCTTCATAAACTCGGTCACAAGGTCTGTGATGTCAAACTGCCAGTCAGGGCCCAGCATATAGGTCAGCTGACCCATCTCAGGCGACTCAGCCACAAACTGGGTCAGGACCCGGACCATGGCATGCTGGTACTGGAGCGAGCACCCTCTGCCCTTCTTCTCCTCATCATCCTCATCCTCGCTCTCCCGGGTGGGCCTACAACACAAGCAAACCAGAACAAACCACGCATGCTCATAACGTTCCCATGGCCTTTGTATCAAACTCGCTGAGACTGTGTGGGATGCAATGAACTGGCTTTCCCCTGGCAGATGTACTCACCCAGGAATCCATCAACCCACATGCACCATGAGGGATGTTATGAACTTGGGCATGTGTGTTAGTCGAGGTACTTTAGAGAAACAAATCCACAGAAACTCATGTATAAGAGAGAGTTTTATATAAAGGTTAAGTGCACATCAAGAAAACATCCCAAGTTCATAACATCACTCACTCTGGTCCAACAATCACAAAGCAAGAGACCCAAGAACTGGAAGTGTGGCTCACTGAGCCATTTATCCCTCCGCCCTTCAATTAGCCCCACATGTGTTTATCAGCCAGGTTGGCACAATAAACTAACTACCTCAGCATGGGAAACAGGACAAGTCCTACCTCCAACCAGACCCTATGCAGTGGAGACCCAGATGGATACATGCCTGTGCTCCCTGCATTCTGGCAAGTTGATCATTTTAAATTTTGAGTCCAATGCAGGGAATGTGAGATTCTGGACAGGAAGAGCTGTTTGGAGTCCAATTCCCACACCTGCCTGTGAGGTAGGTTTCTCCTTTCAACTCTATCTGTATTTGCTTCTCGTATCTTGAAGTTCTGTTATCAGCTGCATTTATATGTAGGATCTCAGACTTCTCAGTGGGTTGATTCTTCTATCAGTATGTAATGCCTTTCTTTGTCCTTAGTAATTATCTTTGAAGTCTAACTTATCTTTTGTGTTGCTTGCATGCTGCAGCACATTGCATTCTTGGACTGTCAATGCGCTCACTTTGTTAGGGTTGATGGCACGTTCTTGTAGCCAGCATCTACTTGAGTCCCATTTTGTATCCATTCTTCCAGTGCCTGTCTTTTAATTGGTGTGTTTAGACCATTCTCGGTGGAAGCAATCACTATTATGTAAGGGCTTCAATCTGCCATTTTATTATTTACCATTTGTTCTTCTTGTGTTTTGTTTACGCTTCTTCTTTACAGCCTTCCTGTGAACAATTTGAATGCTTTTCAGAATCCTATTTAGATCGGTTGATAACGTTTTTTAGTTTAGCTCCTTGTGCGGTCTCAGTCACTGTTCAAGTTACAATAATACACATGCATAACTTATCACAGCTTAATGACATCAATGTTTCACCCTTTCCATGAAATGCAGGTACCTAACTTCAATGTAGGCCCCTATATGCTGTTAACATATACATGAGTTAGGCATTTGGCTGCTGACCTAAAGCTTGGTGGTTCAAACCCACCACCTCCCCTAAACC